GCATAACACCCACATTCCCTTGTACCCACTGCCCACCTCCACATGTAGCACTCTCAGTGAACAATCCTTTGCAGAGAGCAAGCAGAACATTTACATAAAGTTTACAGCCAGCATATCACAGTACTTTACAACACTGCCGTGGATGCTTGGCTGCAGGAGAACATATAACAGAATGCAAATAACCACAGCCTCAGGGAGTCTGTAGCTAAAACATAATTTCATTGCATATTCTCTTCCAGTTTTTGCCCTTTCTAACACGGAGGAGATTGGGAGCCTCATCAAGTGAAAACTGAGGGCTGCTGACTTCCAGAGAAAGCAGGAGTAGAGACCCTAGAGGGGAATCTGTAGGAACTTCAGGCTCAGGTTTGCCTATTACGTGGTGACAGGTCAGCAGGGCCTTCCTCATGGGGCCAGATGAAAGCATCCAGAAAGTGCCATTCACACACACATGCATACAGGCAGGCATGTGCTCTCAGCAGTTTCTTTTACAAATGAATGGGAAAATTTGGAACCAACAGATGGGTTTTGAATCCTTCCTCAGTTGTGTGACTTTGGGCATATTACATAACCGCTCCAAAGGGTAGAACAAGGGGATATATGTGCAGAGCCTCGATCACATAATTATTCCTCTGCCAATTCAGTTTATTCCTCTCCTTATCCTTCAGGGTGAAGGAGAGAACACACCTAGAACAGAAATTGCATTTTCCCTTTAAAAATTTCTTTTAAAAAATATTTCTTGTTTTTTTATAGGTAGTACTTACATATGATAAAAATTTCCCAAGTGTGTCAGTGAAGTTTCCTTCCTTTCCAAACTCCTAGATCTCCTAGGAGATACTAGAAATCTCTAGAAATACTAGAGGCAGCTAGTATTTCTGGATGTCTGTGTGTCCTTTCCATAGTCATCCTGTGCATGTGCAAGCAAATAAATACATCATTACGTTTATATGTACTTCCTTATATATGTATGTTTTTCTCTTTGATACAAATAGCTCTGAGGCACCTGAGTGGCTCAGTCAGTTAAGCATCTGCCTTTGCTGCAGGTCATGATCCTCGGGTCCTGGGATTGAGCCCCATGTCCGACTCTCTGTGCAGCGGGGAGTCTGCTTCTCCCTCTGCCCCTCCCCTTCTTGCATGCGCTCTCTCTCAAATAAAATCTTTAAAAAAAAAAAAACCAGCAACAACAGATAGCTGTGTGACTATTTTCAACCTTGTTTTCCCCTGTAGTATCTTGAAGATCTTATATCTATACTGAACACCCTTAATCTCTTTACAGATGCAGAGTATTTCATTGTTGAGGTATACTATAATTTATCTTTACTCCCACTGAATTTTGCTATTATAACCCATGCCATAATGAGTGTTTTTTATTATCTTAATGCCACTTTGCGCATGGGTAAACATATTTGTAGAATAAACTTCTAAAAGAATTGCTGGCCAGAAGATATGTATATATTATATATAATGTAATTATTATATATAGTTATTAATATTATTAAAAATAAACATATATATAAATATATATAATTTTGATAGACTTGGTCAAATGGCCCTTAAAGAATTTTTACTAGTTTGCTGACCCACCAGTAATGTATGAAAGCAGAGTTTCTAAGCCTACACAGAGCACTGACACCTCAGAGACTGAGCCCCCAAGTCTTATGTTTGCCAGAACAGCTCAGCTTACATTGTGCATATGTGTGTGCATGCATATATATGTGTGATTTCATTTGAAGAAAGTTGTTTTGGCTAAGTGGTTAAGGAAAGTTTGAGAACAATGATGCCAGGTTTGAGAACACTGTGCCTTCTCTTAGCCCTTCAGTTTGAAAGAGTGACAGAGAAAATGAGCTTGTTCCACAACCTGTATGGAAATCCTTTGGCAATTGTGGAGAGAATGGTTCATGTGGTAGCTGGAAAGATGAAATGGGTAGAAATATTTCCAGGAAGAAGTAGATGCCAAGGTATAAGGAGATATTTAGTCATATAGCCCCCAATGTTAGCAAGTGTTCTCCAGAAGGTCAGTTCATTTGAGCCAATTGTAAGGGCTGGTCATGTGCCAAGCCCTGTACTAGTGCTGAGAATACAGAGATGAGCATGGCTGGTCCCTGCCCTCAAGCTCATCCAGAGAAGTGAGGTATGTAGGCAGACAGTTTCCTTATGATGTCATAGAAACGACAGCAACGACTGCTAACTCTGAGAGCTTATTAAACACCAGAGAATGGGGTTCTGCAATCCTTGTCATCTCGCCTGACTCTACAAAAATGCTATGAGGGTAATTACAGTGTTCTCCCCATTTCACAGATGAGGAAACCAAGATCCAGGGAAGTTGAGGGACAGTCCCAATAGCACATAGTAAGTGACAAAACTAGGGTTTATTCTGTGAACTGTCTCACTTCAAAGTCTTAAGGCGAAGGAGGGGTAATGTTAGAATTTCAAGCTGCATTAAATGATTTTCTCCCTCCTTCTCTTATTGTAGCACCACATTACTTTTCAGGGGGAGGGCAAGGGGATCAAGGAAGAGGGAGATGTGCCCTGAGCTGAGGCTCAAAGATGAGTGGAAGCAAGGAAAGCATTCCAGGCAGAGCAACTCTTGGGCTAATCTCAAGGAGAGGCAGCCTCCAGGAGTCAGGAAGTTTCTGGCACAGGGTGACAGGGGAGTGGAGTGGGTAGGAGGGCAGCCTCTGGAGCCAGACTGCCTGAGTTGAAATCCTGGCTCTCCCCCTTAGTTGAGTGACTTTGGGTGCATCACTCACCTTCTCTGATTCTTCACCTGTAAGATGGAGCTATAAAATACTATGTCCTGGTTATTGCAAGGATTGAATGAGTTAATATATCTGGAGTGCTTAGAACAGTGCCTGGCACGTGCCCTTATGTATTTGTTCCCACTATAGAATCTCCAGGCTCCAGGTACAACCTAGACATAAGGAAGAGGAAAAAAATTTTGAAGCTCATCTGCAGTGCTTATTATAGAGAACATTACATGAGCTCCCAAATGTAGTGTAGTGCTGCAAAAGGAGAAGAAAGCAGAAAACCATTTAATGGTGGAGGGACATGGGCTTTTAGGCCAGAATTGTCCTGTCAGTGCTTATCAGCTTTCAGTTATCATCTGGTATTGTGAGTCAAAAATGGGCTTTTTTATTTGTTTCTTTATGGCATCTTTATTTGGTATTAAAATGGAATGGTCTGTCTTAAATAAGGTGAAAAAGCAGAGGAGGATAAAATAAAAGGAACTGCATTCAATGTAACTTTAGGTTTTCCTCCCTCCCTCTGATGAAATAAAATGTTTTCAGAAAAACGGAAAGAAAATACCAACTAAACTCTGCAGCTTCCTCATTCACCCACATAGCATTTATCTCTCATCCACCAAGTCGAATTACTTTTTCTGAGAATAGTATCCTGTAACAGAATCCTAGGGAAGTAAAAGTGAAAGGAAAATACTTCTCCAGGGAATCAACTCAGATGAATTGCATTTTATTTTCATATTCTCTGGCCTTGTATCCCCTTTGTATGTTATCCCAAACTCACATTCCCTGCTGTTCCCAAACCAGACCCCGTGCCTGGACTATCTTCTCTAGGTCAGTTTTCTCTCTTCCTCCTGACATTTGGACAACTTTGGGAATCCATCTTCTTGAAGAAAAACATTTAATAGCAATTTTCCCAACGTAAATCCGAATGACCCTCAATTACTGCTATTCAAAAACATATACCTGTATTGGTACCAGCCACTCACTAGATGCTGGAGCTACAGAAATTAGTATGATTCAAACTTTTCTCCTGAATGAGTTCACAGTCTTGTGTGGGATACAGACATGCAAAGGGAGGTTGATTCTGCCCATCTCTGCTGTACGATTATGTTCATTTCCTTTATGGTTTCCTGCTAGACTGTAAGCCTCTCAAGAACAAAGATTTTATCTGTTTTGTTTACCACTCTGTAATCAGTACCCTAGACAGAGCCCTCAATAAACATTTGCTGAATGAAAGAGTGAATGAATGAATGAATGAATGAAAAAAAGTGACAATGCAGAATAATTGATAAATCGATGTGCTTACAAGATAAGAAGTAGCACAGAGGAGGGAATACTGAACTCTGTGGGAATGGAGTGGAGTTGGAGGGGTGAGGGGGCCTGTTGGGTGAGGCGGCTTATGAGCTGGGTTTTGAAGGCCGCGGCTGCCAATGTTGATATGTCTTGCACAGTGTCCCCACTCTTAGGAGGTACCTCATAAAAGTTTGCTGAGTTAATAAACTTCACAATTTATGAAGCAATTATACTTACACTATGTCTAATATTGTACCATTTGGCCACTTCATGCTGGATATTGTGGTCCTGGAAGCTCTGTCACCTAAACCCTCTCAGTCATCAGTAGGGTAGGAGTATCCACTGGGAAACCCAGTGTCTTGGTGTGTGTGTGTGTGTGTGTGTGTGTGTGTGTGTGTGTGTGTGTATGAGCCCTGGGTCATCCACTGGCTGAGAAAGAAAGCAATTTTAAGTATATGCTTTAGGAGAGGAGTCCCATCCAGCAAGGAACATGGGAAAAGAACAGACAGAGGCCCTGAGCCAGACCAGAGCTTATTACCTAACTCCTATATCCACCACCCAAACCAGTTTCACATCTTAAAATTTCTGAAAAACCAGGTGGTTATGACATGGAAGGGGTGGGGTGGGAGACGAGAGGAGATAAAAACAAAATATATTTTTAGTTGAATTATCTAATGACCTTACTGAGGAAAAAAATTTATTTTATTTTAAGGTTTCTTAATTGAATTTAGATCCAGCTCCTTTCTGGCATAATTATGTTAATGCTCAGGAGACCAAGAACCAAAACTACTGAGGTGTGTGAGCCTCCAGCCTCTGGTGTGATCTCTGGGCTCTCTTATGCTGTTCCAGACCTATCCTCTCTGTGACTGATTGAAGACACCTCTGTATGAGTAATACCACATTATGTCAAAGATTAGATTCATCATCTCCAGTTAACCTTCAGCTTGTGTTTTCAATATGTGTGTGCAGCTTCATCATACACAACAAAGACACTTTCTTCAACAATGCCACAAGAAGTAGAATCGTACATCATATTTTACAAAGAATAAAGTATGAAGAAGGAAAAAACAAAATTGGTAAGTAGTATATTAGTATAACAAGCTACATCTAATTTTGGGGATTACAGACTTTTTTCCTTTGGTTTTATAAAGTTTATATCAATTCTAGAACCGCTCATCATTTATAAAATCTCTACTCCCTTGATGGATAACTCACAAGTGTAAAAATCTTAGTATCATCCTTAGATCTCCTTAAAATAGCATGTTACCTCATTTACCTAAGATCATAGAGAAATTCTCTCAGTTTCAACAAATATTTATGAAATGCTTATTATGTGCCAGGCACTGGGCTGGATGTTGGGGAGATGGGCATGGTTCTCTCTTGGAGCATATATTCAAGAAGTTAAAAGCCGACAATAAACAAATAAGTAAATACAGTGAGTAACATGAAAAAATTGAAATGGTGAGTTCAAGCTGAGATGAAGTGGTCAGGGGAAGCTTCATTGAGAAGCCAGGGTTTGAACTGAGACCTGATGAAAAGAAGGGGCTGATGTGGGAAGATGGTGGTGGCAGGGCCTCAAGGAGGTGGGGGGAGTTGTTCTAGGCAAGTGAAGAGATGAGCTGTCACACATAAGGAAATTCTCCAAATAATCACCTTCCCCATTAAACAGCTTCCATAATTCATATATATGTATTTTGTTTTTCATTTGACTTTTTAAATTCCAGTATAATTAATATACAGTGTTATATTAGCTTCAGGTGTACAATATAGGGATTCAGCAGTTCTATGCACAGTGCTCATCCTGATAAGTATACCTTGATTCCCTTCACCTATTTCACCCACCCAACTACTCCCACCTCTGGTAACCATCAGTTTCTTCTCTTTAGTTAAGAGTCTGTCTCTTGGTTTATCTCTTTTATTCTTTGTTTTGTTTCTTATATTCTACATAGGAGTGAAATCATATTCTATTTGTCTTTCTCTGACTGACTCACTTCATTTAGCAATCCATCTTCTAGATCTATCCATGTTGTTGCAAATGGCAAGATTTCATTCTTTTTATGGCTGAGTAATATTCCATTGTGTGTGGGGGGGCATGTATATATACCACATATTTATCCATTCATCTATTGATGGACACTCATATTTGGGGCATTTTTATGAGAACCTTTCCATATTACCAGATTTTCTCCCTTATTAAACAGATTATCATAGATCAAGAGGATTCAGGTGGCTTTGTCCTTATCTCTTTCCAAACAAGATTTTTATCAATAGTTTGAATAATGACCTAGTCAGGAGATAAAAAATCACACATAATTTTTACAGAGAAAGTTTAATATAAAATATATTATTAAATATTTATATTAATATAAAAACTATGAGGGAGGATTGGAGTAATCAGGGATTGGCTAGTAAAGGTTAAGGAGAACTCTAGAGAATAAAGATATAGCAGATATTAGGGGCAGCTACCACTTCTAGAGAGACTCTCCCCACAAAGCTGAGACCTAGATTCTGTTGGAAGTGGTGTAGCTGTGGTTCACTAGGTGGCAGGGCAGTTTTCTGGGGGAACTGCCTACAGGGGTTCCAGGGAAGCCATTCACTGGGAGGTGTTGCACCAGCAGCACTGCCCTGTGAAGCTGTTCAAGGAGATACCTGCCCTTGGGGAGGTGCCATGTGCTACTGGCCATCACACTCTATAGGAAGTTGGTGCCATAGAAGCCATGTGTTGCAGAAGCCTGCTGAGGGGAGCAGATTGGTGCCAGGAAGACAAACTTCCTCCTCCAGGGTCTTTCCAGTGCCTTCTACTGACAAAGCTTAACATTGTACAACTGGTAAAGGAGAAATACTTACAAGGTCTAGCTCCATTTTTGCAAAGTAGGTAATGAAAGTGTACTTGAAGCTAAGGGGCAAATATATTGATAACTGGTACTTGGCCTAAACAGCCTGCCCATCAAGCTTTCAGGTGGGGTGGACTCTGGAAGAATGCATTAAATATGTTTGTCATTGGAGTCAGGAGCCTAAAAAATCTCGGTGATCTGGAAATCTCAGGCAATTCCAACAAGATGACATTTAGTCGTTTGTGAAAGTAAAGTCCTACACTCGAATTCAGCAAAACAACTACCCTGGTACAGTGTGGGAGAATTGTTGCTCAACAACATCATGAGAGGAACAGACTTGAGAGGCTTAGTTGAATGCAAGCTCAGTGAGTCACTCGTATGTGAAGCTGCCAAAACTACTTTGATCCCAAGCTGCATAAATTAAAATATAATAGAGAGAAAATGATAGCTATCCAGTCCAAATCTGGATACACCTGAAATAATATGTTCAGTGAGAGTTTATGTAGGTGGGTATGGTAAAATCAAACCTGATTTAGATCTTTCTTAACATCAACGGGGTTGTGGATTGGTATATCTTCATATTCTCTGCATCAATCACCCATCTTTGAGACATGTCCTCTCTGTAAAGTCCTCCATGACCATTCCAGCTTGAAGGAGTTCTTCCCTCTTCCCATGAATTCCAATGGCAATTACTTTTAGAGTGTTTATTTGATAATTAATCATGTACAACTCTTATTATCTTGAATTCTTTATTTTCAATGACATTATGAAAATTCTACCACCTAAAGAGAACCACTGTTAACATTTTGGTGTACCAAATAATTTAAATATTATATTAATTTTTTAATATTTATCCCCCATTTGCCCATGTAATTTTAACAGACTTAGGCTATACTACACTAACTTTTATCATACCTTTTTCCGTTAACATTGTATCATGAAAATGCTAAAAAAAAAAATGGAAGTGAAATGATTATGGCAGTAGCTAGTCTGAATTATTTTATAAAATGCAAATTTATAAAAAACAGTGCCTTCACTAATGTTGATACAATAACTTGCAGCACACCTCACAATTTATTATAATACATTAGTGTGTTGAGAATCTGCAGCTAAAAACCGCTAGTTGGACGATAAGCTCCTTCATTGTAAGTAAGTTGCCTTATTCATCTATCATCATTGCCTAGCACAGTTTTGGCATATAGTAGGAGTGCTTGTTGAACTGAATTGAAAATCTTTTAAACATGATTAATGTCTAACCATCAGCATCCTTACACAGTAAAAATTGTGTACAGTGTGGCCATTCAGCAATTATTGTGCTTAACGTTTGCATCTCAAAATGTGAGCTCAAAAGTAGTCAAGATGGAGACAAAAAGAGAGTGATTCAATAGCCAAACTATGGAAAAAGCCAAGATGTCCATTGACAGATGAATGGATAAAGAAGATGTGGTACACACACACACACACACACACACAATGGAATATTATGCAGCCATCAAAAAAAGAAATCTTGCCATTTGCAATGATGTGGATGGAACTAGAGGGTATTATGCTAAGTGAAATAAGTCAATCAGAGACATGTATCATATGACCTCACTGATAGGAGGAATTCTTAATCTCAGGAAACAAACTGAGTGTTGCTGGAGTGGTAGGGGGTGGGAGGGATGGGGTGGCTGGGTGATAGACATTGGGGAGGGGATGTGCTATGGTGAGCACTGTGAATTGTGTAAGACTGTTGAATCACAGACCTGTACCTCTGAAACAATACATTATATGTTAAAAAAAAAAAAGGAAGGGAAAAAATGAAGGGGGGGAAATCAGAACCATGAGAGACTATGGACTCTGAGAAACAAACTGAGGGTTCTAGAGGGGTGGGGGTGGGGGGAGGGGTTAGCCTGGTGATGGGTATTAAGGAGGGCATGTATTGAATGGAGCAATGGGTGTTACACGCAAACAATGAATCATGGACCACTACATCAAAAACTAATGATGTAATGTATGGTGATTAACATAACAAAATAAAATTTAAAAAAAGAAAAAGAGACAGTGATTTGTAAATATTCTAAAGGAATGCAGGAAGTGTTGTATTGTCACTAGTAAGAAATGATCTTTATAAAAGTTTCTCATTTGATGAAAGAAAGAGAATTCTATCCAAGAACTCCAATGCCTTTTATTTTTTAAAGTTTTTATTTAAATTCCAGTTAGTTAACATACAGTGTTTTATTAGTTTCAGGTGTACAATATAGTGATTCAACACTTCCATACAACACCCGGTGCTCATCACAAGTGCACTGCTTAATCCCCATCACCAATTTAACCCATCCTCCCACTCACCTCTCCCCCAGTAATCATCAGTTTGTTCTCTATAGTTAAGAGTATGTTTCTTGGTTTGCCTCCCCTCTGTTTTTTCTCCCTTTGCCCATTTGTTTTGTTTCTTAAATTCTATATATGAGTGAAATCGTATGGTATTTTTTACTATTTCACTTACTATAGTACTCTGTAGCTCTATCCCTATCATTGCAAATGGCAAGATTTCATTATTTTTTTATGGCTGAGTAATATTCCATTGTGTGTGTAGATGTGTGTGTGTGTGTGTGTGTGTGTGTATACCATATATATAGTATGTATCTTCTTTATCCATTCATCAATTCAGTGCTTTGAAAATTGGTAATGATGACCTGGAGAAGTATCTAATTGGAAGTGACCAATCACAGAGTAAATTACTAACCTAGGGTCAGGCATTATGCTGAAAAATATGGAGTAAAACCACAAATGCTTGTTGATCTGATGTTTCATTGTCATCTTTGGTTCCATAAATAAAAGAAATAACATATTAGAATAAAATTTAATTTATTGATAGAATAGTATTTATCTAATGTTATTTTCTACCTGAAACTCTTTCTGAATTTCATCTTCCATGAACCATCATTGATTAGAGATAACACAAAAATACTGATTTGTAAACATGATTTGTAAGGACATTTTGCTGGGGTGTAAACTACCACTATATGTTTTCTGGATTCACTCTGAATTTATTACAACTGTGAAAATCAAACCTGTTGAAATCCACTTTCAAAATAGAGCAATTTATAGATCAACATAGATTTATTTAACAATATAAGTACATAAAATAAATTTTGAAATTGACTTGTATTTTCAAAATTGGTGCTCAAAGGGGACGTTAGTGAAGTGGTAGATTTCAAATATTAACTACTTTCTCACTTTGTAGGACTTTGATAAATTAT